ACTACAAAGCTCATTTGTAAGAGCTTGGCGAATCTTCACTTTTTTCCTAACCTCAAGAACCAACATTCTCTGAAGTCAGAATCCAGGGACTTATTTTAATGTCTAACATTCTTCCAAATCCCTTGACAATAAAATTTTTAAAATGAACTTCACATTGACTGATGCATGACATTGTTTCAGTAAAGGAAAAAAAAAATGTGCAGGTTGAAACCATTATTACATGTCATAAAGTACCCATAATGGCCACTCAGCAAAATTTAAGCCATGTTTAAGGTCATAAACAAGCACATAAAGTATGCTACACTCATTTATTGAAAACCTCCTCTTGAAAAGAAAGGGTCATGAAGAACTACAGCTCAATCCTGCTGCTCTCCACACTCCAGTCGCAGAACTTACATGTGACCTTTGCAATTCCCCTAGCAAATACTTTCAGCACTTGGGCATCAACTTTAAAAATTAGGAGGTGAGGCAAAGCTATAAAAATCAGTAGTAGGAAAGTCAGAATATGCTGAAATATGATAAATGTTTTTCTCACAGAAGAAACGCAGGCACTATTGATTTACAGAATCCACTGCAAAAGGCAACTAGTTAGACCTCCTTTACCACTTATATTTTAAGCCCAGAAAAGCAAAATCAGACTTACCCTGGGAAGCCATCCTATAGGCTGACTCAGAAAAGTCGCCTGTTGACAAGCCAAAAAACAGCTGCAAACCAGTGATCCAAAAACTCACAGAATTTAATCCTCCCATCCACCTACTAACCCTTGCTACTACATATGCATCTAGCTTTTGTTAAAGAACTTCTGCAAATGTACAGTGGATGAGTAATCATTTAGAGTTCGTAAAGCATGCCAAACCCATCACTAATAACAGTAGTTTCGTTTAATCATCAAATTTTTGTGTGCCTTTATTTTTTTCTTAGCAAAATTAGTGCTTTTGCTGATACAAATTCCCTGCCAGCAGAGCACACACACATTGTCAAAAAGGCAGGAGGCTGCCTGTCCGTTGTGTAACTTTTCCTGAGTCCTTGTCAGTTGTCAGTAATGTTGAACTAATACGTAAAGGCACAGCCTACTTGACAAATCATCTTTTAAAATTAGTATTACTACTATTTTCCTAAATACAATAAAATTTCCACTCAATTATAGTCTATCCTCTTTTCATTTAAAGAGGCAATATTTTTATTATAGTAATTACTAGAAATACTGAAGAATATGAAGTATAAGTTTATTTCTCAGCTGGGTTCGGTGGTTCAGCCTGTAATCCCACGTCTTTGGGAGGCTGAGGTGAGGGGATTGCCTGAGCCCGCGGGTTCAAGACCCGCCTGGGCAGCAAGACCTCATCTCTACAATAAATCAAAAAATCAGCCAGGCGTGGTAGCACATGCCTGTAATTCCAGCTACTCAGAAGGCTGAGGAGGAAGGATCACCGGAGCCCAGCAATCGAGGCTGCGGTGGCCAGAAGCGGCCACTGCACTCCAGTCTGGGTGACAGAGTGAGACTCCAATTTAAAAAAAAAAAAACAAATAAGTTTATTTCTCACTACCTCTTCATCTAATCCATTCTCTTGGTGGTAATCACTTTGACAGTTTTGAATGCACCTTTCCAGAACTTTCTATGTACATATACACAAGTGTGTATACCCATATACACACACACACACACACACACACACACACACATACACACTTCAAAAACACTCTTGGGGACTGATGGGTCTTGAATATCACAATTTTCCAAATTTTATAAAGATACAGAGGTCATATACAGTATAATATTCCCAGTGGGATCAGGGTAACAGCTTGTAATCAAGTTCGTTAATATTTCTGCTGAGAAACATATGAATATTCAATTAAGTGGAATAATAAAGACTATAAATAGCCTCATGTCATTTCAGGTCAGGCACTTCTGCCAAATGTGGTATCAGAAAAGAAAAAAATCCTTCCACATTCAGAGACTTCTGTATTTTAGAATTGTGGATAGGAGATTCCAGACCTCCAGTTTTTCTCCCAGTTAGTTAGCAAGTTTTGAATACTCTGTTTTTATTACAAATGATCATGATTGGACATTTAAAAAATATACATAAATACAATTTAAGTCACCTGTGAAATCTCACCATAAAGAGAATTAAGTTTAAAAAAAAAAAAAGATAGATGTTTTAGTCAGGCGCAGTGGTTCACGCCTGTAATCCCAGCACTTTGGAAGGCTGAAGCGAGAGGATTGCCTGAGCCCACAGGTTTGAGGCCAGCCAGCAATATGGCAAGACCTCGTCTCTACAATAAAATCAAAGAAGTAAATAAATTTATAGATGCTTTCATTAAGTAGTTATTACTCTTTGTATAATTCTGTGCATATAGAATATGTATTATTCTACATATAATTATATAATTTAGACCTGATATAACTCAAACTTTAGTTTTTTTATCTTTATTTTAAAGATGTGGGGTACAATTCAGGATTAGGTAGCTAAATGGTCACCGTACAGGTAAAATTTGGGCCTCCCTTTGGTCCGCACTTTACCTGGTATAAGATCAGGTACCCTTATTGATGGTACATGCCTTTCCCCAACCCTGATAATGTGCCACTACTGCCAATCCCTTTAGTCACTCACATATTAAATGTCTCCCGGGAGTACAGGCTCAGCACTGTATAGACAAATTAAAACAACAGCAAGAACATGGAACCAACTGTGCTGCCCATTAAAAATTAACCGGATAGCCGGGTTCGGTGGCTCTGCCTGTAATCCCATGCTTTTGGGAGGCTGAGGTGAGTAGATTGCCTGAGCCCGCGGGTTCGAGACCCACCTGGGCAGCGAGACCTCATCTCTACAATAAATCAAAAAATCAGCCGGCGTGGTAGCGTATGCCTCTAATTCCGGCTACTTGGAAGGCTGAGGTGGAAGGATCACAGGAGCCCAGCAGGTTGAGGCTGCAGTGGCCGGGAGCGGGTGACAGTCTGGGTGACAGAGTGAGACTCCAACTCAAAAAAAAAAAAAAAAATTAACTGGATAAAAAATGTGGTACATATACATGATGGAATATTACACAGCTATAAAGAAGGACAAAATCATGAACTTCACAGCAACCTGGATGGACTTAGAGTCTATAATACTCAGTGATCTATCACACAAAGAACTGAGTATCACATGTTCTCACTCATAAGTGGATCTTGAACAATTATCATATCATAATACTATAAGAAAAGGATTGGCAGTAGTGGGAAACTGCTGGGGGAGGGGGCAGGATTGGCAGTAGCAGAAAAATGCTGGGGGAGAAGCAGTACACTTCATCAACAACAGTACCTGCCTAATGAACATTTGTATACCTAACCCTTAATTGTACCCTACATCTTTAAAATAAAAAAATTAAAAGAAAAAATACTAAAGCAGACACAATTTCTGTTTTCAAACAAGGTAGAAAGTAATACCTGTTTTAAAAAATTAGAAGGCACTATGCTACCAAAGTTCAAAAGTGTCAGGAGGACACAGAATAGTTTAGGTAGCCCAGCACCTTTTAAGATACTTCCTGTGTTTGAAGAGTTCCCTTTTTTATGAGTGTACAGGGAGATAGAGACAACTCCTTAAAAGGCAAAGGTTTGTTTTTCCAGACTCCCTTGCAGCTAGAATAAAGACATGTGCCTTTAGTTCTCCCAATCAGACATACCTGGGCCAGACAGTACAAAACTGTACACTGGCAAGGAAAGAAGTAGCTATATCTGGAAGACCTCAGAGCCGGGGGCTTGGCTATGTGTGTGGTCTAGCAGTCTGCACTAGTGATGTTAATAGTGCAGGCCGCAGTATCTGTGCCTAGCAACATCAATATCTTCATTGGATCAGTTCTGCAATGTGCTGGGGGCATAGATCCTGGCTACTCAACTTCTGATCTGTTTCTCTGACTTCCCAGAAATCCTGAGCTCCTAAAAGTCTTTTAATAAATTCTCTACAGAGAGAGTTTTTTAATTCTGTTTTTTGGTTACTGCAACTAAGATATGTGATTGCCACAAGGATGAACTTTCTTTTAACATGGTGAGGAAGCATGGTGCAGTGAAAATAATAGAAAGATAAATGAAAGCCAGAAAAAGCAGTTTCCAAATTTGACTCTTATCCCCACCCTACACTAACCTCCTCTGGGCCCATCCACAAGCTTATTAGATTATATGAACATCATATCTGTAAAATAATACTATTCTCCTTGCAAAATTACCCATGAGAAAGAAATGAGTTCTTTCACTTATTAACTCTTTTATTCATTTAAATATTTAATGAACTCTTACAGTGAGTTTTACACTCTAAAGAATACCAGGCCCTAGGGTTGCCAGATTTAGCAAATAAAACTACCAGACAGTTGGTTAAATTTGAGTTTCAGAAAAGCCATGAATAATTTTTTAGTGTGCGCATATCTCATATTTGTGATATACTAAAATTTTATTTTGGGTAAAGTTATAGGATACAAAATCAACATACAAAAATCAGTAGTGTTTCTGTACCCTAATAGTGAACTGTCTGAAAAAGAAATCAAGAAAATAATTCCGTTTATGATAGCTACCAAAAAATAAGATATCTAGGAATAAACATAACCAAGAAGGTGAAAGAGCTCTACATTGAAAACTATAAAACAATGATAAAAGAACTTGAAGAGGGCACTAATAAGTGAGCTAATAGACCTTGTTTTTGGACTGGAAGAATTAATATTGCTGAAATGGTCATACTCCCAAAGTGATCTACAGATTTAATGCAAAATATCAAAATATCAATGGCATTATTCATATAAATAAAAAAATCCTAAAATTCATATGGAACCACACAAAACCCAGAATAACCAAAGCAATTCTGAGCAAAAAGAACAAAGTTGGAGACATCACATGATCTGACTTCTAAACATACTACAAAGTTATAATAATCAAAACAGCATAGTACTGACATAAAAACTGTACATCAACAAATGGAACAGATTAAAGAGACCCCAAATAAATCCATACACCTACAGCCAAATGATTTTTGACAATGGTACCAAGAACAAACATTAGGAAAAACACCCAAAAGGTTCATCATCTCTGCCCCCTCTGCCAAGGCCCCATGTTTGCGATGGGCATGAAACACAAGAAGTACCAGGACAACCTCATGATTGTCAGCAGTGCCTCCTGCACCAGCAACTACTTAGTCCCCCTGGCCAAGGTCATCCACGACAACTTTGGCTTCGTGAAGGGACTCTTGACCACTGTCTATGCCACCACTGCCACCCAGAAGACTGTGGATGGCCCCTCTCTGGAAAGCTGTGGCGCGACACACAGTCCACTGGGGCTGCCAAGGCCATGGGCAAGGTCATCCCTGAGTTGAACGGGAAGCTCACAGGCATGGCCTTTTGTGTCCCCACCGCCAACCTGTCCGTCAGGGACCTGACCTGCCACCTGGAGAAACCCGCCAAACATGACAACATCAAAAGGTGGTGAACCAGGCATACAAGGGCCCCCTCCAGGGCATCCTGGGCTACACTGAGCACCAAGTTGTGCCCTCCAACTTTAACAGCGACACCCACTCTTCCACCTTCGATGCTGGGGCTGACATTGCCCTCAATGACCACTTTGCCAAGCTCATCTCCTGGTATGACAATGAATTTGGCTACAGCAACAGGGTGGTTGACCTCAGGGCCCACATGGCCTCCAAAGAGTAAGAGCCCCCCGACCACCAGCCCCAGCGAGATCATGAGAGGAAGAAAGAAGCCCTCAGTTTCTGGGGAGTCCCCGACCACAATGAGAACCTCCCCTCCTCACATTGTCCATGCCAGACACCCTGAAGAATGGGAGCAGAGGGAGACCTAGGGAGCCCCATCTTGCCATATACCATCAATAAAGTATCTTGCACTCAGCCAAAAAAAAGAAAAACACAATATCTCCAATAAATGTGCTGGGAAAATTGGATATCCACATACCAAAGAACAAGACTAGGCCTCCACCTATCACCTATAGAAAAATCAACTCAAAATGCACTAAAGACTTAAATGTAAAGCCCCAAACTATGAAGCTACTAGAAGAAAATAGGGAAGTGCTTCACAACAGTGGGTTTGGCAAGGATTTTTAAAATAAGACATCAAAAGCATAGGCAACAAAAGCTAAAATAAACAAATGGGATTACATCAAACTGAAAGGATTTTGTACAGAATAGAACAATTAACAGACCATAGAGACAACCTACAGAATGGGAGACAATACCTGCAAACTATACATCTGACAAGGGACTAATATCCAGAATATATAAGGAACATATACAACTCAACAACAGAAAAACAAATACCCTGATTTTAAAATGGGCAAAAGAACTTAAAAGACATTTCTCAAAAAAAGACATACAAATAACCAAGATGAAAGAATGCTTAGCATCCCTAATCATCAGGGAAATGGGAATCAAAAACACAATGAGATGTAACCTCACTTCAGTAAGAATGGCTATTACTAAAAAGAAAAAAGTAAACAAGTACTGATTAGAAGGTGAAGAAAAGGGAACACTTATTATATATTGTTGGTGGAGATGCAAATTAGTACAGTCACTGTGGAAAATAGTAAGGCGATTCCTCAAAAAAATCAAAAATGGAACTACTATATGATTGAGCAATCCCACTACTGGGTATATAGCCAAAGGAAATAAAATCTGTATATTGAAGAGATATCTGCACTCCCATGTTTATTAAAGCACTATTTACAATAGCCAAGATATGGAATCACACTATGTGCCCAACAATAGATAAATGGTTAAAGAAAATGTAGTATATATTCACAATAGAATATTATTCAGCCACAAAAAAGGAATGGAATTCTGACATTGCAAAAGCACAGATAAACCTGGAGGGTATCAAGATAAATGAAATAAGCCAGACACAGAAAGACAAATACCACACAATGTCACTCATATGTAGAATCTAAAAAAAAGTTGGTATTATAGAAGTAGATAATAGAATAGTGGTTACCAGAGACTGGAGAGGAAAGAGGGAAGTAGGGAGGGAGAGTTCAGTCAATGTTACAATTAGCTAGGAGGAATAAATAATCAATTAGCTAGGAGGACTAAATTAGCAAAGTTACAATTAGCTAGGAAGAATAATTTCTGGTGTTCTATTGTACAATAGTGTGTCTATGGTTATCAGCAAGTTATTGTATGCTACAAAATAGTTAGAGAAAGGCTTTGAATGGTCCCATCACAAAGAAATGATAAATCCATGAGATGATGAATATGCTAATTCTGCTGATTTGATCATCACACCATATTCATGTGTCGAAACATCAAATTGTACCACATAAATATGTACAATTACAATATGCCAATTAAAAATAAAATAGTAAAATAAAAGGTATTATTTGTTTGGATCCTCAATTCAAATTTCACTCGGTATCCAGATTTCATCTGGCAACGCCATTGGATGCGCAGCAGTACACAAAAGAAGCATGGTTGTTGCTGTGATAGACCTTCCATGGTAGAGGCTGAGGCAAGGCAGGTGGATAGGCAATCAATATGCAAACATCCTCATACCGTGTAAATAGGGAAGCAACTACCTACAGTGTAAAGAAGGAAACTGCACTTAGTGTAAATAAGAAAAACAAAGAGCTATGGTGGTGATCAACTAGACAATAAGATGAAAGTAAAGAGGAAAACATAAAGATAGGGTAGTTAAGAAAAGGCCTACCTAGGAAGTTAATCCTAAAAAAAAGATCATGCTAAAGAGAAAAAAATAACCCATATAAACGTAAAGCATCTTGCTCAAGGCCTACCACATAGTAAGCACTCAATAAATGTTTCAACCTTTAGCAGGCCAAAACTCGCATGGCCCTGAGGAAAAAAAGTCTTCTTCCATTTGTACCCTGAGAAGGAGACTTCTTTTGCCTCATCCTCGTCCAGCCCTTTCCCTTAAGATGGATAAAGGGGTAAAAATGCCTCCAACAGCTTCCTTCTCTTGAAGGTCTGGCAACCATCATCTGTCTACAACCTCCTTAGAGACAGAACCCAAGCCAGAACTGCTCCGCCAAAGTCCTCCAGAACTCCTGACCCAGAGACACTATGAGAAATGATGAAATGGTAGGTATTGTATTCACTCACTAAGTTTGAGCATAATTTCTTTTGCAGCCATAGTAACCAAATGTTGGCAAGAATAGAGAGCAGCCAGAACACTCCAGCACTGCCGATAGAAGAGTAAACTAGAACATTCATTCTGGGAAACTGGCTGGGCTATACCGAGGGAGGTGGGGCATGTATACATCCTGTGTACCTTACAGCTGGCATGATACAGGCACCATTCAGCTGACAGTTCTTGCCAATTCCTACACCATACCTCCCTTTCCTTCTATGCTGGCTTCATAACACTCCCTCCACCAATTAGGCACTCAGCTCCCAGATTAATCTTTCTAAAGCTCACCTTTCACCATGTCATTTTGCTTTTCAAATAATCCTCCATGTATATACTTAATAAGCATTTGCTGACTGAGTAACTGTAAGATTCCAATCTGGGGAGTTTTACTAACCTGGCACTGGGGGATAAAAGAAAGCAAGCAAATAACCCAGGCATTCAGAATTTACAAGGCAGCTCCTTGAAATGCCCTCCATGAATTTGAAACCCTTGCCAGAAATCAGGATTGTTGTGAAATACACATTTGGAATATGTCTTGAGGACCCAGGCAAGTTACATGCTGCCATCTACTCAAACAGAAAGTTGCAAAAAAAGATGAAGTATTACAATGATGGTGACAACCAACATCACAGCACACAGCAAAGAATGAATTTGAAATCTGACAGGTCTTCTTTCGCACAGGAAGGGAAAACAGCTTATCCCCACCATGGAAAAGGAGGAGAAAGAAGAAGAAAAGAAAATCAACCCTTAATCTTCTTTAGAATTCTCTGCGAGTGCCCTACTCTCTGATAATTGTCTGGGGCCATATCATTAGTGATGATAATAATGAGGGAAAACATAATAATTGTTACAGCTGCCGTTTACTCTGTGCCTACCACGTGCCAGACATTATGCTGAACCACAAGACTCTTACATCTTCATCAGCATGATTGCAACCAATATTTCTTTCATGCACTGTGCTAATCACCTGGCATACATCACTGCATTTCTCCCTCATGACAACCCTGCAGGGTTGTATATCATTATTTCCATTTTACAGATGAGGAAACCGAGGGGTGGAAAAGTTAGTAACTTGCCCAAGGTCTTATCCACAAATGCTTTGAGGGTCTAGGACAAAGAAAACTAAAGAAGGAGATAAAAATGCCCCATGGGAATAAAAAATATAAAGAGTTATATTAAAAGTTAATGTATAGAAACATAAGACATGAGATTCGTGGAACCATATTCAACGGGATGGAAGACACATCGAGCAACAGGAGGAATCTCAGTTAAACTGACCCAATTTAAACTCTATATTGCACACTCCAAGAGGAAGTCAGAGCTCATATCTATTCATCCACTCATTCATTGAATAAATATTTACTGAGCACCCTCTATGTTCCAGACATTGTTCAAAGTGTGAGGGACACAGCAGTAAGCAAAGATGGAGCATCAGGAGAGGGAAGGGAATATGAATAATAAATCCAATAAATAGCAATAACTATACAAAATGTAAAATGTACCAAGTGCTAGAGGAAAAATAAGCAGAGCAAGAAACATCAAAAGGGCCAAGATGGTGGCAGGAAAGAAAAGAAAATTTTAATAGGATAGTCAGTGTAGGCCTAGAGGATACCATCTGAGCAAAGGCTTCAAGGAGGCAAGGAGATGAGCTCCATGGACAGTGGGAGGTAGAGCATTCCAGGCAGAACACACCCAGGTGGGCTTATGGAAGGCACACCGGCGCGACAGTGAGGAGGCCAGGGTAGCTATGGAAGGAAAATCCAAGGGAAAACAGGAGATAAAACCAGCTGAGTAATAGAGGCCCAGTTGCAGAAGGCTCTTGAGGTCACTGTACATCAATGATTCCTCAGCTTTGGTGGTCATGAACTACTTGTAGAATCTAGATAAAGCAAGGGACCCTCACCCGAAAACAGGGCACATGAACAAAATCCTGCCCTAATTTCAGAGGCTTAAGACCTCCCTGGCATTCCATCACAGACTCGCAGAACTGGAACGTCATCCTTCAGAAGATCACAGTCCCTCCTGCTGAATCAAAGAAATACACTGAATCTAACACTCTGTTTTATGACCTTCCAAGAGGGGACAGTGATTCAGGCATGAAAGCCAGGTTTCCTTCACTGTCTGAGATTCCTCTCATTCCACTGTCATCACCAAACTGGGGAGGTCATCCTCAAGCATCAATGACCCGAAGAAAGGCCACCAATATTTGTTACCCAGGACTTACTTTGTCAGCCCAAAACTACATCAACATGACCTTAACATCCACAGGGTAGAAGAATGCATGCATTAGTAGTCCAAGTGGAACCAAATGACAAGCGGAGTCAATCTGCCACCTTGCAGCTCGTGTGTGTGTGCGCATGCACCATTGGGTATATGCATAAATATTTAGATATTTGAATTCTTTTCATATTAACTAAAAGTAAGTAAGGATTGTTTGTTTTGTTACTACTGAATTCTTAGTGTTTAGAAAAGCATCAGGCACAATATAGTTGCTCAGTAAATGATGACTGAATAAATGAATAAATCTGAAGAAATACTTCTTTGTGAATCAGTCCAGGAAATAAGTGGATCAAAA